TCACTGTTAACGCTGACCCACCAAACAATAAAAGACATTCTACAAAATATGTGGACTGTTATCACCCACAGTCATACATTGGTCGCCCTCATCCTTGAGATTCTAGAAGAGAGTTTCCAAGACCTTTTCCGGACACGAACCGATATACATACACCGTCCCATACACCCATCTACCATCACACCAACATATCACACTACCACCTTCTTGAGAAGACTGGGGAGAAGACTAATAATATCAAAAATGGATCTAACGCCATCTTAAATGACCAGCGTTCACCAAAGACCCTGGATCGTCAGCTAGAGAAATCAGGTCACGGTGCCGCCACACCAAAAATACATCTCCTCCCCCTCGCGCGGCGTAATGTAAACATCCCACCCTGGACGTGTCTCTTTCTCCCTCGTGTAGCATATGAACGCGCATTTTACATTTCCATTTGAGTAAAAGGGCATCATTTTAACTTTTTCACTTTTTCATCTCATTTATCTTTATTAATCCCATAATTTTTATTGTATTATAATCCCACTAGCGGATGTACCCGGCTTCGCCCGGGTTTTACCCGAGTAAAGGTTTGTCTAACGAACATTTGTTAAAACAATTCTCTATAAACTTATAAAAAAAAATATATTTTTTGATAATTTGAAACACGTAAATTTGAATCTCTCAATCTGGCGCTGCTTGCGAGTTAAATATACAAATCTGCAAATAACTAAGGATATTCAAGAAATTATTTTTCAGAAACCTTCCCATACTATACTAAATAACTTCCCAAAGTTTCATGGCGTTCCAATGAGTGGTTTGGTCAGGCATAAAGGACACACACACATTCATTTATATATATACTAGCCGAATGACCCGGGCAACGCCCGTGTTTTACCCGATTGAATGTTTTGATTCAAATACTATTTGTTACAATTATAAATTGTGGTCATGTGGCCTAGTGGTCATGGCATCTGCCTGGTAAGCGGAAGGTCGTGGGTTCGATTCCCATCCCTTGACACTTTTTTTATTTTATCCATTCTGACCAAAATCTATCCGTGAACTTCACACAGACAGAATAAGGCAATTATATAAGTAGATTATTTTCCCATTTTTAAATATTACCTATGTTACCCATCCACTATCTCTTTTATATATAACCAACTAATATGATATAACCTTTATGTAATCATGTCTATTTTTCCAATATCCAAATATACCAACAGTGCGTACACATACCAGTGTCCAGAAAAACCTGTTTCTGCAGCTTGTTCTTCAATGTCCTTTATGTCATGCCGAATGTTTCCTCTACTAGTTCCTCGAATAACTCAGCGATATTTTGAGCTTGCTCGTAAGGAAATATGTGGTTTTCAATTTTTCTTACAACTTCCAAAGAGTATAAATTTAAATGTTCAAACTTCCAAAGAGTATAAATTTAAATTGTGCACGTCCCTTAGACTCCCAAAGAGTATAAACTTATTTTTTTATTCAAAGATTTTGTTCTTGCACATATAAACACCTAGCCTGTGCATGGTTTTTCCACATGCTTCAGCCTTTAGGATATTATATAGCGGATTAAATTTAACTGTATGTCACCATGCCAATCCCAAAGATTGGACTGTCCCCATCGAGTCGCAACCCGCAAAAAGGGGTTCGCTCTCTCCTGTCCTCGACAGACGTCCTCGTACTTCATGAGCACTAATCCAGCTGCCTAATAAAACGGTCACGGTCTGACACTGCGCCACCACCACACCTGTATATAACTGTACCAGTCTTTTTATTATTATTATTATTATTTGCTACCAACCTTTTCTACCTCAATCGACCACCTATTGCTCCTTATCTCAGTACCCCACATTCCCTATAATCACAGCATAACGACCCCATTAATCAGTCTGATTACTGAGATCGACTCCACAGAGCTTAGAACCCCTTCTAACCTCTCCATTTGTTGGGGGGACATCTCTGATAATTTAAAAGCCCATTCATTCTACCATATCCCTGCATATGTCCTACCACATTGTACCAAACTTATAACTACTGTATAACATGATGTACTGTGTTAAGAGCCAAATAAAATACGGACTGTATGTCAGACAGACAGAGAAAAACAAGGAGATAATACGATTATAGATATTCATAAACGATTGCAGTTAGGCCTAAAGTTAATAGGAAAGATTCCCACCTCGCATCATTAGCGCTAGGTCAACGACATTTTTATTCCAGAGAACTCCAAGACAAAGGACCCCGGAGTTGAATTAGCTAAAAACAATTATATTTGGGTCAATGCTCCATCCTCACATTTTCTGCTATAACTATCAAAAATGGCTTCCCAGTCGTTTGGACCAATCAAGGCGATTTTTCATATTCCATGACGTAATGAATGACCAATCAAAATCTCTGTATAGGTCACGTGACACCACCCGACTGGGGAAGCCTCAGTAGCGTCTCCGAGTCTCATTGGTACTAGACGTGTCTCCTGATCTAGCGTAAATCGCGTGGCGCGTAAGCTCACTCTCCTCCTATGTTCTCTGTCTGTCAGCATCGGTTCCCTTGACCAACCTATCCTGTGTCCTCACTCCTGCCATCACGACTGTAAATTCACCCCAATCCAATCCCAAACTTCAAGTTGACAGCACCTTAGCTGTCACAAATAACACAGGGTAAACAGAGAGTCGACAAGATTAGACATACATACACACTGACCTTTTTATATATACTAGCCGAATGACCCGGGCAACGCCCGGGTTTTACCCGATTAAATGCTTTTATTCAAATACTATTAGTTACAATTATAAATTGGCGCCGTGGATGTCATTCCTGTATAATATATAAATGAGTTTTAAGAATTGTAAAAAAAAAAAAAAAATGCATCGTCTGGGAATCTAACCCGGGCCGCGAGCCATGGCAGGCGAGCATTCTACCACTGAACCACCGATGGTAATGAGAAATGGCCATATTTGGGTATTTATTCCATTCACAAAAGCAAACGTGACAGAATTGATTATGACGCTGATAACTGTATAATTGAATATAGGGATACTACATTATGATGCATTAGCGCGCCATCTGTTATGAAAATTCGATACTATTATAGACGCGTATGATTCGTTTACAAATTAAACAATTTCTACTGCCCTTACTGCAATGGAAAAATTAATCGGAGGGCCTAGTTAATCAGTGGTGAACCCTCCCAGCGGTTTCGCCAGTTTAATTTACCATACCGCAATTATATTGCATTTTTCGATCTTTCTTTTAGAGTGATACTTAAAAAAAAAAAATTGTGATACTGATGATAGACTCTTGGAATTGGGTATTTTGGATGAACTATGGACATAAGGTTCAAGGACAGCAGAATTACATACATTTATAAATATTAAAAATAAAAAAGGCATCTCCTGACCACGAGCACATGTGCTTTTTTGATGGCAGAGCGCCATCTAGTGGAGCAAAAATAAACTAAACGTTTATTTAACTTGCTCCGTGATATTTGGCTAACCCAATTTCTTGATTTATCAAGAAAAGCCATCCACGAACGCGTTTCGCGCTGTTGGCGCTCGTCAGCGTGGAGAAGGCTGTAACCACTGCGACCAAAAAATATTTTTGGTCAATGGCTTCCCGAGAAATCAGTCTTCTCCACGCTGACGAGCGCCAACAGCGCGAAACGCGTTCGTGGATGGCTTTTCTTGATAAATCAAGAAATTGGGTTGGCCAAATATCACGGAGCAAGTTAAATAAACGTTTAGTTTATTTTTGCTCCACTAGATGGCGCTCTGCCATCTAAAAAGCACATGTGCTCGTGGTCAGGAGATGCCTTTTTATTTTTAATATCAACACCTGACCCACTTATCTTTTATTTTTTCTATTGTTTTTCATTTATAAATATATTAATTCGATTGCTCGAAGCATATAACATATTTATAATTGTATGTAATTCTGCTGTCCTCAAAGCTTATGTCCATAGTTCATCTAAAATACCCATTCCAAGAGTATCAACAGTATCACTATAAAAGGAAGATCTAAAAATGCAATATAACAGCGGTATGGTAGATTAAACTGGCGAAACCACTGGGAGGGTTCACCACTGATGAGCCAGGCGCTCCCATTAATTTTTCCATTGCAGTAAGGACAGTAGAAATTGTTTAAAGCGTAAAAGAATCATGCGCGTATATAATAGTTTCGAAATATATTACACATTGATAATAGATAAAAGGCCGAGAAGCGATGTTTTATACATAGAGATGACCTGGCTTCGTCTGTCTTCTGCTCGAGTTAATGTTTTGCTTGTTCCTACCTACTAAAAATGATAATCTGTCTTCGCCCGTAGTCTGTTTTAGGGAATTTCCCCGAAAGAATTTCGTATCTGACAATCAAGCATGATATAGCAAAATTGTCATAATCATTTTCTAAATAAAAATGGCTTTTTTGCCCAGTACTTGGTCATTTTAAATATTTCTTGGCTAAAAATTCGACAATAAACTCTTCCTGCCTTTGTTTGCTGTCCTTATTTAATTTTCCCCCTATCTTTGTATCTTTATTTCTTCTTATTAAACGATCTGCTATCAAATAATCACCACCTGATTATTTGAAAATATACATAGGTATCAGGTCCGTAGAACTTGAGACTTTTCACAACCATCATCACTGGGTGAAGTAGAATGCGTATGCCTTTGTCATTAAGACTAGTGACAAAAGTTGCTTTTACGGGTTAACACACAATGTGCAATTTACTAGGGCCTGAGAGTAATAGTAATTTGCACACAAGAGAATCGTAGTCAAGAATACAACAACAAAAATGAAAGAGAAATAAATAAAAACTCACGATTTTCTATATAAAAATAGAACAGTACTTATCTTTTATTGTAGCGTTGGTAGGGAGCGGACCAGGGTCACACAGGTATGCGAGGAGATCACCAGACACGGATAAAGCACGCAGAGAACACTTTAAATGTCTCCAAACGATAATCCACCACTGCACCTCTCGCAATACCATAGCCCCCTCTTATATACAAATATGGCCACCTTCGTTGATTGAGAAGGCAGGAGATTAGTTCACTAACAAACAAAAACAAAATTCTTCCCACTAAAAACTGAGACAAAATGAAAGTGCAAATGTTTGTCAATATAATTTGACACTGGGACCACTACTCAGTGGCAGGCCGAATTAGCTGCAAAATGAAATGGCCGCCTCTGACATAAGGAACAGACACCATATGCAGCCGCTCCTAACATGGAGTACAAACGCTGCTCATCCTGTATCCCTGGATCAGAAGTTCTTACAGGATACTATCAGCCGGACCAGCTGAACACAGGTTTTTTAGCGAGCTTGTTACTGCTCTCCCTCCTCCTTTTTCATCCGGGCTTGGGACCGGCAAAGGCGGAGTTAGTGTGAGATTGAATGAACACAATCGATAACTTATAAACGATTACAATAGGTTTCTCATATATCACCACATAAAGACACCAGTCACTCTTTTAACCTATCAGAAACTACCATTCATTATTTTCAAACCAATAGTAAATAACATTTAATTTTGGAATAAAGTTATATACAAAAGTCACCAATCCATAAATAGATATACATAGATCTATCCGATATTTATAATAGATTATTGCCTGGAAATTGAAACATAGATTTGATAGTCTGATTATACAAAATGTCATTTAGAAAACTGAGAAAAGACAACGGTGTGTGTGTGTGTGTGTGAGGATAACATGGCAATTTATTTTGATCAAAACAATTACTAACTTATTTTGATTGCAAGAACACAGGGGCAATGAGAGATATACGTTGAGTAGAGTGTAAAATAATATGTTTATTAATGTTTAAATACTTTATAATATAGAAAGTATTTTTGAGTTATTTTAAAATAAATATATGTGTGTGCCACAATTGTATAAGTATAGAGCAGTGATTCTCAACCAATGTGCCGCGGTAATTTTGTGTGCCGCGAAATTCTAAAAATGTGCCGCCGAATTTTAGTCATATGATTATGTTCACGTTTGTATTGGTTTTTCTTTTTTTCTTTTTCATTTTTTTACTTTTTAAAATAACGAAATTAGCAAATTGAATGTTAGAGATGTATATTACTTATATTTTGCATAGAAAAATATTGATACATAATTTGAATTTTCTTGTATTCAAGTTAGCAAAAGTGTGCCGCGAAATTCTAAAATTGTGCCGCCAAATTTTCAAATCTTTAAAATAATGCCGCAACAAAAAAAAAGGTTGAGAATCACTGGTATAGAGTTTGCATTTACTGAATGGCTCGCGCGAAAGAAATAAATTATTGTATATATTGCCAATTTTCAATGTTTCATAACATTTGAGAGAAAAAAATAATATGATCAATCAATATTTTAAAGTAATGGGTCGATGGAAGGGTGGTCTAAACCGTTGGTTTTTGACCCTAACGAACCGGGATCTAATCTGCGCATTGGGCACTTTTTTCTGATTTAAGAAAAATATGCTCTAATGGCACCTGATTCTTGCAAAAGTCCAAACCCACCAGCGAGTGCAAGTAATCAAACGGGGCTCTGGCACATTTCTAAGTGCTAAGTCGAACTGCTTTTCACATTTGTGGACATGTGATCAATTACAGTTAAAGCAGTCGCCAACTTCTACCCACCATGATTATAATGGCTTGTACCAGGTGTACTTGGGATAAGCAAAAAAAAAAGTTCAAGTTCCATATTATTTTAAATGTATTGTATGCGAGACTAAATAGTTTGTCTTCAAATTCGATCTGTATTTGTGTATGTGTGTGTACTCGATCTAAATATACATTTCATGTAACCACAGAATGTTAAGAATTACTATAAAATATTTGAAAAGACCAAAATACCACCATCTCAAAACCTGGCAGAAATCCGTGGAAATAGGCAAGGTCTAACCGACCACTTTTATATATCAGCGATATGAGGATTATTGTGATCACTGGAATAAGACCTAACTGTGTTTAGGAACAGAAATATCGAGTCCCATAGCTCAGTCTCAAATCGAGAATAGACAGTAAATTTTACTTGTATTCCTCTATAAGGCATATTCATAGTGAAGTATGAAAGACAACTGATATTTGATAATATAAAATGAGAAAGAAAACGTCTGAATTTGATCAATTTTTTCCGCATTTCATCATTTTATATATTTTAAAATATACATATTCGAAGCTTCAAAGCATTTTATATAAATAACAAATGTTTGAATGATATTTCTTTTATTATTTTTGAGGTTATTGAAGTAGAAAATTTAGTCATAATCTTATTGTTACAAATTCTATTTCATATTGAATTCAAAATGATGGAGATTATTTTAAATATATCTCAAACAGATAATATATAATTAAAAAAGGTACATATTATTTTTTATTTCATATAAATATTAATATTGAATTTTTAGGACTCTATAAAAATTTCGTTTCCAACGGTCCAACAATGGGCCAGTCGGTTGGGAATTGAGGTGGAGGCGGGTCTGCTTTGAGACTCTGTCCGAATTTACTTGTTTCCTCAGATATTGAGGCTTTGTCTTCCTCTCCCCCGACTCTTTGATCTTTGAGACGGAGTCCATAGCATCGGCAGACCAGTTCCTGGCAGGGCCTGGACCATCAGCTCGGCCGAGTCATCGAGCGAGTTGGATGCTCTGGTTGTGCCAGAAGAGTGGAATAGGGCTTCTACGGAGGCGAAGCGCCACTATAAACAAAGGCTAACGCGCTGAGCAGGTACCTCCTGGGTGGCGTGGAAACCCTTTGCGAAAATATTCATGACCTGGTCTGGTGATGCATGGACTTTGGATGAGATAAAATGATAACATTAAATGCCATAACCCATTAACGCTGGAAAATAGAAATAAATTCAATACACACCAAGTAAGAACATACATAGAGTTATAGAAACAAAATAAAATATCAGCTTAGCCCCAAAATATTTCCAGTATTCTTCAAC